CCGAGCACGGGAACCCCGGCGCCTCCTGGGCGTCCCTTCCCGGGGCAAAACTGCGGCTTTGGGACGATTTACGGGCGTTGTGGCTTTCCTTAGCATCTGGTGGATGGTTGCGGGCTTTAGGCAGCTTAATTTAGGCATGAATGCTGGTTGCACACACGCAGAGATGGTCCGGATCTTACCCTTTAAAATAAGAATGTGTGTGTGCTTTTTCTGGAAAGAGACCGTGGCATCTGTTTCTTCTTGTCTAAAATAATTACCGTGTGTGCGCGGCTTCGCTTAATTCAAAAGAGCGGGTTCGGGTATGGGGAGAGGGGAGGACCGTGGGAAGAGTGTCGGTAACTTGGATCGGGATGATAAATTCAGCCGTCGAGTAACTTTTGGAGAAGAGACTTAGGGAAGGGCTTTCCAGGGCAGGGTCGTTGTCCCGAAGAGCTTGCCTGAGGGGACGGCTTGGTGTCGCCTCCCAGCTAAGACCGTCTGTCTGCGCCTATGGAGGCCGAGGCTGTGGGGATTCCGTGCAGGACATCTGGTGCCGCTGTGTTTTGGGAAGGGCATCCCTTTGTTCCTCGGAGTGGCCAGACTCCCCCGTGCAAAACAATGGCCATCCTAGCAGGGCCTGCAGGGAGCGGGGCTGGCGGTACAGTCAGGGAGTGCATAGGTGCAGCGCTCGCTTGGCTTGCCCGCAGTACCGACGTGCACGTCTGTGTGCATGCATGCTATTTGCTTTTTTGAGTAATTTAAACCTTTGTAATCTCAGGCGATGTGATTAAGTCAATTGCTATGTATTTAATCGGGACCACTATCCTAAAGGACAAACGTGACAGTAATGAAATAAAAGCTAACTACTCTTAAAATGTATGTTGGAGAAACTATTTAAAATACATTCAGATTAGAAATTACCACTGGAAAATGTAAGGGTCAGGTAAAATGGCTGACTCTGCAATTTTTGTGTTGAATCATGAGTTTCCCATATCCGGCTGTCCTATTGTTAATTGTGAATTAAGGCTGGCAACAAGCTGCCCATCCTTCCCTGGATGAATCATCACTTTGTCAAGCCCTGTGTCAAAAACAAGGCTTTCCCCAAAAGTGCACAGTGTTAGGGAACAGAAATAGTCCGACCCATCTGTTAAAGTCGAGTTCAGTGCTTGGCTGCTTTTAAACATATTAAAGGTAACGACGTTCTTCTCTTCATGTGTTTTTATTTCCAGTTGTCCCAGGCCTGAGTTTAAAAATGTCTTTAATTTAGTGCTTAATGCAGTGTGCTACCTCTGGCTTGATTCTGTGTGAAGGTGTAATAGTTGTAGCATTCCCGTTATTCCCAGAGTAACACGCAGTGGTCACCGCTCATGTCGGTGTTTACCATCGTGTAGCAATTACTGACGTGTTAGCTTACCACAAGTTCCCCCCTGTCCTTAGGAAAGAAGATGTTTCTGAAAACACCTATGTGGTGTTAGGTGGCGTATTTGATGGACATCTTGAAAGCTTCTGGCTCCATATGGGCACCACAAACAGACTGAGTGCTCCACAAGGGGAAGGTGAAAGAACTCATGAAAGCATCTTAGATAACAGAAACTTGCCTTTTTTTCTTTCATTTTCTTTTGTAAGAGACCTTGTTAAGTCACATCTGTGGGGAGGAACTCCGTGAGGAAACGATGGGACTGTAGTTTAATTTAGCTATGTGTGTTAGCCCTTTCAAACGTTGCGCAAGACTTGATGTGATTCCCTTTAGAAGGGCAAATGTACATTGCAAACCTACCAGTGCTTCTGGGGGAAGGGAAAATAAAAGTCTGGCAAATGAGAGGAGGAAGTGGGAGAGAGAAATTGGAAACATAAGCAAAGACATTAATTTTTCCCACTGTGCACTCTTAAGAAACTGCTGGCAATATACTGGAGATACTCTGCCTCATGGAAGTGTCATGGACTTGCTTCACATGATCCTCTGAGATCATCCGGTTTCTCTGAACTCTGTGGGAACAGAAATTCCTCATGTTGGAGTCTGATCTCATCTTCCTTCGGCAGCAGTAATAGCAGTGGCTTGGGAATTGGAGAGGAAGGTGAAGAAAGCGCAAGTGGGACGGTTTGGAGAACAGCTTCGTGCTCGTGCAGGCCAATCTGGACACTCTGCGTTTCCTCCTTTTGCTTGCCCTATGTGGTCAGAGCTGGGACAAACGCTAACATACGGGCCAAAGTTAACTGCTCTGTCGGTGTGCTGGGCTTACTTAGTGCAGCTCACGTGTCAGACCATCCTATAAATCTTACCTTGTATTTCATTCATCCTTTTTATTGTGCTAATGAAGAACAAACTGAAATGGAAATGGTGACTTGAGTGATTGTATGCGTCAAGCTTAGGGAATTTCCTGAGTTTGATGAAAGGCAAAAATAAAGGCTTTTTTTTCCCCCCTAATAGCTATGTACTTAGTCTTTAAAATTCTCAGAGTCTTCTTAGTTTGAAATAAAAGGTATCTAAGTAGCTTCTCCTGTTTGTTGGGGGACTACTGGCAAAAAATTTAGGAAGGCTGCACTGGTGATGACCAGCCCTTGAGTCTGTAACCTGATCTACAGCTTTTTCTCTTCAACTGGGAAAGGAAGTAACAGCTCCTATTACACCCTTATGTAACCTCTCCATTCACATCCTCCAAAAAGAAGGAAACCAGAGCTTGATTTCTGATGTATAAACTAACATCAAGGCATGCTTTGTCATAAAGAAGCAGTAAAGAATAACATTAATTTTCTTTTGTTTTGTTCTTCCTAGAATGAAAAAAAAAAAAAAGAAAATTAAAGATTTTTCTTTTGCGCTGATGTGATAATGGAAAGGGTTGCAACTCTTTGTCACATGCTGTGAAGTAGCTGTTAAAGAGAATACTGGAACTGTAACAAGGGTCTTTTTGTGAATCTTTCCTGATGGGTTTGAACATTAGTCTCAAAACATTCACCCTTTACAGTTGTGCCCCACTTTGTTTGTAGATTGTGAAAGCTTTGTTCTTTTGGTTTTTATGACTCCAGATTTTGGTGTCTGAACCGAGTGTGGAGACCAGGATCTTGTCTTTTTTGCTGTTGGACTTTAGCCCCATCTTGGGGAAGAATGATGGGGGAAGAGAAAGGTGAGGTTCTCAAAAACACCTTTCCATGTGCTTTCACATACATAAAAACATATGAAAGAAGTATAGTAGGTGTTTCTCCCTTTGAATAGGAGAAGTACCTCTGCTCACTGAGCAAATAAATGAAGTCTTTCTGTAACTCTCTCTGGGGTTCCCAGCTTCCATACCATTAACTCTTCCTCATCATTTTTGCCAAACTGTTTTTTCTTTAACCAAGTGGCCTCTACTTCTCTACTTGCCTCTGGTGCCTGTCCCCCATCTTCCTGAAGCCACTGGCATAACATGCTTGTTGCAGTCGTATCCTGTATCTGTGAGGCGGGTAACTGTGAAATGTGTGACTTGATCCTCAGGGACCAGCCTGGCCTGTGACAGGCTCTTCTTTCAGTAGGGCTGGAGAGTGCTTTTGTGGTATGCATGGCCATTTTCAGTGACTCCTGCCATTTTTGATCCTTTGCTCTGTGTTTGAAGAAACTTGTAAAACCAAGCAGTTTCTCTCACCTTTTGCTTACCTTGAAGTAACTGTAGAGTCTTTGGAGTTGCCTGCAGACTCAAGGTTTTAGACTAATGTATCATCCAGCTGCAGGGCTAGAACCATCCAAATTGTCTTTTTGCATGTGAAGAGCTAGTGGCATAGCTTTTGGAGAAAACCATGCAGACACATAATCTTTTTGTATCTCCCAATTCCTTGTTACTGGGAAATTTCCCATATGGTATCAGCAAGTAAACTTTCTCGATATATTTTAATTCTGCTAGCAAAGTCACTGTGGTGATGAAAGTTTCAATGAGAGAGACTGAAGTTTTAAAATAGGGTTTCAGAGATGAAGTAGACTTATGAAGTCCCCTTCTCAGATGCAAACTGAGAATTTTGGGGAATCATTGTGTGCAGACAGTATAGCAGGAGTAATGGACCCCAGAGGCAAGAGCAGCATCCTTTCTCTCCAGTGGAAAACATATGCACACGCATGTAAACACACAATAATGCTCAAGCGTTTGGGATGAAAGCAATCGTGAGGTGGCCTCTAGCCTAAGCAGGCAGACTTAACATTTCAGCAAACAAGCTGAAGGCCCAAGATAAGGAATCCAAATATCCAGAGTCCCAAGGAGTGAGGGTGAGAAACATTTACTGTCACAAAGATTTTCTCCTTTGCGGAGGTGGGGAGTGGGTGTATCTTGGGCTTTAGGTAATTGCTTTGTCCCTGACTTTGTGCAGTGCTGCCTCTGAATTGCTTTGGTGTGGGTGTACTAATTATGTTCATAAACTTTGCCTTGTTCTCCCTCCTTTGTAGAGGCAGCAGTCCTTATGAGATTCTTATATTAGCAGAAATCCTTATGCTCTTGGGCAAGAGGACCATCAAAATATAAGGTAGCAGGAAGAAAGAAAAAGTGTATAGGAAGGAGAAAAACAGGAGATAATGATGACGAATAGGTGCTGAGTAACAGAAGGGTTTGTGGGTACTGTACTATCAGAATTGCTTGCTGTAGATTTCTTTATTTTCTAAATACAGGCAACAAGGAGAGACTCATTTTTCCCTATTGTCAGCAGAAAGCAGTTTTTAAAAGTTTGCGACTACAGCCTGGTCAGCATTGGTACAAGTTTCCTGGGTTCACAAGTATGCTCTGTATGCGAGCTCTCTTGCTTTTCTCTCTCTGTTCCTTTTTCTGTAATTTTCCATAATTTTCATAGTTTGTATGCTCTGAGGTGTTGCTGGGGGTACTTTGAATTAGAAATAAGAATAATTTAAACGGCAGGACTTAATACACTGGAAATAAAAATAGGTACAGAGCAGGCACGTTCTGAAATGTTTCTACTCTTTTATATGCATTTTCTTTGTGGAGTCTGTTCTTCCTCATGTCTGCAAGAGCACACTAGTGTTTGAATATCTTTGTAAAGGCTTGACCTTAAGGTGACCAGTTTTTGTGCACAGTAAAGCATATGTAATGTCCTGATACTGTGCTTTAACTTTTCCACTGATCTTTGAAAAACCTGCACCTCAGAAATGAAGCAAGGAAACTACTGGATGTTGAATTCTGTATCTTGGGAAAGCACGAGCAAAGGAAGTTGCACCTACTCTGTCTCTTAATGCCTTTGTGTTAAAAGAATTTGTAGGACAGTTAATGGTGTCTTTTTAGATCAAAGAGGTATCCTTAAAGTCCTTATTGCATAAGGACTCTTTGGATGGCACTGTAATAAGAAGTTACTTCTGCTTTTAGGAGAGCTGTTGAAGGGAGTGAAGTTGGTATTAATCCTCTCCATTGTTCCTCTGCAGAAGCA